ATTACAAATATAAAAAGGGGCATAACCCGATGTTGGTCCCGCCTATGTAGGGTCTACCTATGTAGGGTCTAGGGAGGGGTGAGCTGGAAACGGTCATTAACCTTTGGCTTTTTATGCAAAAAGTGGCCACTCTCGAGACACAAACCTGCACTCTTGTGCTAACTGCCTGAGCCTTTTACCGTCGCACCAAGTGACGCCCCCTAAATAAATTATAAACAATTTATTAATTGTAAACTAAATTAATTAATATAAAGTAATAAATTCTATAGATAACTTTAGAATTTGTTTACTATTAATAAATGATTACAAAATTATATGATTATGAGATATTCGTAATATTTAATTAGGATTCTAAATACTATTGTAATTTTTTTTTTTTATAATTATGCTATAATTAATTGTATATATCTATCACGTGAACATTCTAACAATTACTATTACTATTAATTATTATAACAAAATAATTAGTTATAATAATTCAAACAATTATTGATAAATTACAATATAAAAATAGAACACTTATACGTACATTTATATAATTGTAACTATAACATTATAATATATTGATATATCAAGTTAAAATTTGAATAGTGCTTCATAATGATCATTTTTTTGACAAAGGTTGCTTCATAATGACCATTTTTATTACTAATGAAACTATAATCGGTGCGGTTTGTATAGAGCCAAGGCTCTAAACAATCAAAGTAGAGCGCACCTTCAAATAATGTCGAGAAATGTGGTTTCAATGTTGGAAATCTTTATGATAGCCTTAAAATATATTTCCATCACTAATTATAAAATTTAAAGCTTTAAAAATAATGTAGATCAAGTAGATCTATGAAAACTTGAAAATATTGAAACTTGACGGTCCAAAAATGCATTACAAGATGCACTATTTCCAAAACTTGAAATTCATGTTTTCTCATGTCCATCCATCTTGAAGTCGAGATGATCAATTTGAGAATATTTGGGCATCAAAACAGCCTCTTCTAGTGAGATTTTTTATGTGTGCCCTAATTTGATCCTCGTACTTATATAAACTTTTTCCAACTATAATTAACATTTAAATAATTAAACTTATTTTAATTATGGTGAAAATTACTGTTGAGAGAGAGGAGAGAGAGAAAGAGAGCAGGGAGAGAGAGAGAGAGAGGGAGTGCATATGGGAAGAAGTTAAGTATGGTAATGTGGTAATAACATGTTGTATGTATGATTAGTTTGGTTACTAGACAATTAACTATTTAAGCACAATTTTTAATAAGATCAATATAGTGGATAAGTCTAGTAATAACCTGTATGTAAGTAGATTGAGTTAAGTATTAATGATGGTTATGGACTATTTATAAATTAGACTATTTAAAATATAAAGGC